GGGGAGGCAGATGGAAGTAAAAGAAAAACAATGTATTTTTTTAGCAACTAAAAACGATGTATTATTAGGGGAAGCAAATGCTTCGCCATACACATGGAAACTAGGCCAACCAACAGTGGGAGCGCCTACATGACACTTACATGTACAATTCAAGGTGCTTAGAAGGATCTTAGAAAAATAAAGTTGTTTTTACTTAAGCAACGGTGCTTATTGCTAGAATACATATGCTTAAGCAGGTCCATGTGCTTAAAAAAATCAGGTACAGGTGCTATAGCAATAAGGAATAATGGTTAAGAAAAAAGTTGTTTATTTTTCTAAACATCACTCTAAGTATACATTGCATCATACATGGTCTTATAGCGAGCACTAATGCTAACATCGCTTGAGGCCATTAACATGCATGGTTTTTTAGTTGTTGAATATCTCAGAAATACTGTTATTTCACTAAATACAATAATAAATTTAATAATGAACTTTTTTCATGTGTTGCAAGAAAATAAATACAATCGTTTTATAACATTGAAAGGTTTTTTTCATGCATATAAAAATTTGTTCATTTATGAAAATGTTCTGATACGTGAAAATGAATACACATGTCTTGTCGAAAATGTATGTATATTTCAAAATAAATTTTCATATAATTAATAATTAAATTTCAAATGTTTATAGAAATACTTTATATACAAAAAGAGGTGCTCATACATATCAAAAAGGTGTTCAGCTTTTGAAAAACCAATGTTCGCGTGTTAAGAAGAAAATATGTTCATGTATCTCATTAAAATATTCATCTATCGTACCAAAGTTCAAGAAAAAAGTATTTTCAAATAAACAAGAAAAAAACTAACAAGAAATAAACCTTGATGGTATTTGTCCGAAAATAAGTAAATAATCCCTTATAAAAACAGTTTCTTACAAGAGTAAGAAATTACTAACAAGTCCTTCAAGAAATCAACACCATCTTCCTTCTACATCCACTGACGGCGCATCGTGAGTAAAACTCATTGACGCCTCTAAGCCTCCGACTCAACGGAAGAACCTTGTTGGAACATAGGATCTTGTAAAAGCAGCGGCTAGGAACTTGTTGATGTAGGCCAGAAGAAGCCGATGACCTAGAGAAGCCGCCATGGAGGAGGGCTAGAAGATAATCCCAGCTCCAGCCAAATAGAGGAGGGAGACAAACCTCACAATCTCACCGACAAAGTCATATCTGCCTGAGCTTCGACGGATGGAGATGAAACTAGAGACCAACAATATGCTATAATACCATTCTCTTCGCATGACGCGGTCGGCGTGAACAAATACTAATCACTCTAGACCAAGTGCCCGACATAAACACCATCCTATTACCCGTCGAGGTTGCTTCGAGGAAAGATATGGACATGGAGAAAACCCGGCAACTATTATTCCCATCGTTGCAGCTGCCCCAGCTTTACTAAAGATGAATAACTAGACCATAGCAGACACGGACCGGGACACTCAGATCGGGGGTCCCACCTTTACACCTGTCACCACAACTGTCGACAGAGGCCAAGGGAATCCGCATCGGCATCAACGGGTTGAGGGGTTAAGCTAGACGCCTCCTCTCTAGCAAACCCTAGGAAAACAACTTGTCTCTAATACTCGCAATAAACAAATACATGAATGTGGCATACGTTTGGTACTCTATATGTCTTGTAAAGTAGAATATTCTTGAAGTGGTGAAACACGTTTTTGTCGACAATGAGATGTATATCGTTAATCTTAAAGATAGGCAACTATGTCTCCCGTAGATGTTGTGTGTGCTTGTGCCTCCATATAGTTGTTTTTAGGGTACCTGCAAGAAAAACAATGTGGCTGATTGGTTTGATGTCAAACCAAATATTTGACGAAATCTAAAATTTCTAAAATTTGGCATCTTCTTGTAATCTTGGTAAGAAAAGTTGGTAACCAAGCAATCACTAGCCAATTTTTGGCAATTTGTTTATAGGAAATCCAATTTTTGGCATGTGCAAACCAACCATGCTCAATATACAGCCATTCCCCAATTCTGGCCCACCCCCGCTAATCACGGCCCAACCCAAATCATTGCCACCAACGGCTACCGTTGCGCTATTCCCGACGCCGCAAGGAGGCGCGACCACTCCGCAAACCGCCTCGCCGAGATAAGGGGAGCACGCACCCGCTCTGCCCCGTCGCCGCCACCACCAACCCTGGCAAACCTCTCGCCCTCCGTCGATGCCCCGCGATGCCGTCGGCCGCCACCCGTTCGTCATCCATGGGTGCCGGCGACATTGAGTTCGCCCTCGACCTCGAGGACATCGCCGCCCGCGCAGCCAAAGCGGACTGCATCGGCGCGCTCGCCTGCGGCCGCACAAGCTTCTCCTACCACCGCCTCCCCGAGCCGCCCCTCCGCCTCACCGTCCGCAAGCTCGACGATTCCTACTTCGGTGCCAGATCCCGCTCCCTTCCGTTTAATTCCCCCGAATTGTTTGGGTGGTCTGGTTTTGCCCTAGATTGGCTCCTGCCGCGGCGCGGGGATTGCTAGTATGTGACCTTGCGTGCGTTGCTTCTGATTATGTAGGTGTGCAGGTCGCCAGGTCGGCCGCTGTGTGGGAGCTCAAGGCGGCAATACAAGGCGTGTTCATCGCTCTCTACAATGACATGGAGAATGCTGTCACTTGGTATGCCACATATACAAGGGATCTGTAGTTTAGCAAGTTGTTTGCTTTCAATTGCGCTTGGATGCCATGTGGATAATCCAAAATAGGTGAAGAGAGATTTTTTTTTCTCTGGCATATAATGAATAATGGGCAATTTAGATTGAAATTTACTGTCATTGTTTGTTTGAATTAACATTTGGTGGTGGGAATTTAACATTTAACGTTATTACTTTGCTTGTTTTAGGCAGCACGTGTGGAGCCACTTCTGCTTATGCTTCAAGGATGAGAAAATGACGGATGACAGGGCAACCTTGCGTGCATTTGGTATAAGAGATGGTGATGAGGTCTGTGCACATTCCTCCTCTGTGATTGGTAGAAATGTGCATTTTAGTGTGGATTAGCTCTGACCTGTTTCATGAGATCAGTAAGGATACAAGTCCATCCTATTTATGAAACTATGATGTGCTGATGTACCGCTCATTGTTCCGTTTACTCCTTGTTCATACAAAAGAGATGCCCCTATTGTTAGGCAATTTGCAGTTAAGTTATTTCCATATTTGGTTTGGCACTTTTGCCTATCAGACAACATCTTATTCTCCTGTGTGAGCATAACAATTATTAAATACCCTTGATTTTGCTTGACATATTAGTTCCGATGATGTCACTTGTGATCCTCTTGTACCAAATGCTTATTGTAGATAGCTCAGTAATGGTGCTAGAGCCTAGAGCTACTAAATTCCAACACAGCCATGTACTACTTTTCCTCTTCTCATTCTTGCATATTGAAAATTCCTGAACAAGAATTACTTTCCGTTATCTAATAAGTGAGTATAGTAAATGCATGCTGGCATAATTAATGCATTTGTAGTATGATTCATTATTTGTGTCAAGGCCATTTGTAAATCGAGTACACTGTTTCAGCTATTTGCGGAAGTAAGTGTCAAATCCTATTTAATGTCACATTCTGATGTGCCATTTTCTACTTCCACTGATATGCCTCTGAATGCCTTCCATTATATTGTTCTGTCATGCAGCTCCATTTCGCCCAGCATCTCTCCGTTGACTACAGCCCTTGCAAGAGTTCAAAAAGTCAAAGGGCAACATCTCACAGAAGGTATGGGAGATCCTAATGCCTCTATAAGGCCCTTTGTCCACTTGACCTGCATCTTCCTAGAACTCATGGATTTTCTATATGCTCACAATCGATGACGTTGCAAGTAATTTCATATGGCAGGTCAAGGACTTCAGTGGAAGGTTTTAGTGTCAGACCACGGAGTTTGATGGATGATCTGATCGAAGAAGATGAGGCCGAGAAGAAGCTTGCCGCTACTAGGCATTCAACCAGTATTCTGGATGAAGATTTTTGTGTTTATGAGCACCACGAGCAGCACGTGGAGGAAGATCGTAAGAAAGGAATCTCTGTTCGCGGTTGGTTCTCATATTCTAGATTGAGGGGTAACAGGAGAACACACTCCGAGAATATTGAGCAACCCTCTTGCGAAAAGGGCAGTCGACCAAAGCTAGGGAAATGGCTGTCTTCCAAAATGTCGAAGGCCCGGAGTAAATGATACTCAACTGCTATCTATCGGACATCTGCTGCTTTATTTTCTGAATGAAGTGTAGACGACCAGTAATTCCTTGCATGACATAGGATAGGCCATTAGCCTAGGTGACCTTAAAAGTTCAGTGTATATATATATATATATGTGTGTGTGTGTGTGTTTTTTTTGACCCATTGTTCCTTCCAAATTTGATGGTCTTATTGTTTGGTGCAATCAGATATTTATCCTCTGTTTCCACTCGTTGTTCCTTCCAAATTTGATGGTCTTAAGAATTTACTGTTAATATTTCGGAAAACATTTTGCGGTCTTCTGAGTAACTTGTGCAGCCAGCCGACTGACAACCATTACCCTGTGATCATGAGCATTAAACCTGGCCAAATATTATGTAATTTCTGTTGGGATCCTTAAATATTATTGCTGTTAAACTCTATTTCAGGGGAAAGATAACATAACACCTTTTTAGGGGAAAGTTGACTACCATCTTACATGTAATTGAACCCCAAAAAAAGTGTGAAAAAGAGGGCTAGGTTGCTAGCCATGAAAGAAGAATATTAACAGTACATTTTTCACAATTAGCAGTACCTATCTTTTCTCTAGAGAGACCAACCGAAGCCTATACCTATCGGGAAGAACAAATGAAACAGCCGCAGAACAACATCAGCAGAAACTACTGAAAGAGAGAGACCGGTGATATGATACATTTCACAACTTTACATAGAGAACCCACTACTAGTGACCGGCGCCTCGCCTGCTTGGCCCCGCCCTCGCGACGACAAACACCGGCAAGTTGGCCGTCGACAAGCCGCCCCCTCCGTGGGCATGATCGCGCAACGGCCTGGAGCACTCCGCCAACAGAGCGCAGGCGCACAAGAGCAGCAACACCAGGATGATCACCACGCGTAAGCTCGCCATCCTAGCGCCGCGGCGGTTGAAGGTGGTGTCGATACAGGCTAGGCCTTTGTCGGCGGTCGTCGATCGGCAAGAGAGGGTGCTCTGGTTTCAGAAGGAGAGGTTGTATGCGTAAGGTGTTGATCGTGTTGGCCTGGAGGAGGAAGGGAGGAGGACGCTTAAATGGTGGCGAGATGGGAGCACGGGAGGGGAGGAGGTGAGACGTGTGCGGCAAGGACTTTGAATGAGCGCGCGCGCATGGAGGGATGGGAGTTGACAAACGGAGGAAAGGAAGGTGGTAGGTTTGATCTCGTTAGGCTGCAACCACCCCTAGATTCTGAACCAAATCTTTGCTTTCCTGGGTTGCATTTACACGCTCAGTTTGACCGGCTTGCGGCAGCGTGTGTGCTTGCTTGTGGAGAGGGGTTCTTAAAATAGTATCTGAGCTATAGTGAATGGATACGTTTGTATTTGTTTAAGAAGGATGGACTCCGCGTTACAGTATAAAACTTGACAGTTGACACTGCAAAGTGCAAGTTCAGTCCCTATCTCTATCTGAAAATTCAGGTTCTCTAACCGGTACGTAGGTGAAGGCATAGAATGGTTTATGTATACACTTTTCCGAAGAAGAAACTGATTGCTGGCAGGAGATATAGTACTGGAAATTTGCATTGCTATTGCATAGTGGAGCGGTAGAATGGATTCACCGGTGTCAATTTGTTTCACACTGCAAGGAGAATGTGTACTAGTAAAACCCACTCAAAGTGAAACCCGAGAGTCTGTCTGTTCCTTGGCCGGGTAGCAAAGCATGCACCGAATAACGTCGGTAATCCTGGTTGGCCAGAGCGTTAACACTTTTTTTCCGGCACTTTGTGATGTGTCATCAGTAGTTTATTTCAGTCTGCTCATACTGTTGAATGCTGAATCTTTCACCAAAAGCGCCCGCGGTCGGCACTGGATTTAGCTATCTGCATATCCGACTGGCCGGCCGGATCGTGCTATTCCTTTCTTGGGATGAGGAGATATAAAATATTCTTTGCATCTCACGCTAGCGTTAGGCCAACTCCACGGCGCGATCCCATCTTGTCCGGGTGCGTCCGTTTGGGATAAGACGGACGAATTGCGCGGCTCAACGCGCGGCCTCAAATGAACAAATGTCCGGAATCCGTCCGTTTTCGACCCATCCCGGCCCAAAGTTGCGCTCGGTTTGGGATGAAACGGACGTGAGCAGACGGCCGCGACGCACGCCCTTGTCCCCCCCCCCTGCGTCCGCCTGTTGGGGACACTAGCAGTCCCCCCCTCCCAACGCTTTGACCCTCTCTCTCCCGCCCTGCCCCGCCGCCGGCGCCGCCGCTATTCTCCGGCCGCCTCCTCACGGCGCAGCCCCCGACCGTCCATACCAAACCACGTGTAGACATGGCCGCCACCACGCCCGCGCTTTCGCCGTAGTTTTGGCCGTCGACCGGAGGAGGTTTGGCCGTCGCCGTCTTTTCTGATGGCAGAGGAGGCACGACCGCCGGCGACGTACCACGGCGGCCACGGCAGCTTCCAACAGCTTCAGAGCGACCAGTAGCCGGCCGACAACCACCCCTGCTGCGTCGAGGTGATCATCGCGGCCTCTTCGCCACCACGCCCGTAAGGTGTTTGACATTTTGCCCACAAAGGTATGGACAGTGGAGACGAGTTCTTCTTCCACCACTTCCTTTGTTCATCGGACGATTCGTCGTCGGATGATGAAGAGCTTGTGGTGGCTGCACTGGTCGTTCACGACCACATTCAACGGCAGCTTCCGCGGTACAGGGGTTCAGTCCCTGGCCGTGCTCCCAACCTGAACCGCAACAGGGAGAGAGGCCACGCCCTGCTCTATGCCGATTACTTTTCCAACAAACCGCTCTTCAAGCCGGATAAATTCCGTCGCCGTTTTCGAATGACAAGGCATGTGTTCAATCGTATCCAAGAGGGAGTGGTTGCTCATAACCCATACTTCAAGTGCAAGACAGATGCCCTTGGCAAGCTTGAGTTCTCCTCTTACCAGAAATGCACCGCGGCCGTCCGCATGCTTGCCTATGGAATTCCAGACGATCTGGTGGATGAGTACGTGCGTATGAGCGAGACAACATGTCTGATGTCAATGTACAAGTTCTGTCAGGCTGTGATCGAGGTGTTTGGCCCAGAGTACTTGAGGCAGCCAACTGCCGCTGATACAGAGAGATTGTTGGCGACCAACGTAGCTAGAGGCTTTTCAGGCATGCTTGACAGCATAGATTGTATGCACTGGGAGTGGAAGAACTGTCTATTTGCTTGGCAGGGCCAGTACAAGGGGCATGTCAGTGAGTGCACTGTCATATTAGAAGCAGTGGCATCGCAGGATCTCTGGATATCGCGAGGCTTGCAGAAGGCCGCTCCCCACCTGTCAACTTTGAGATCAATGGCCACCAGTACAACAAAGGATACTATCTAGCTGATGGTGTATATTCTCAGTGGTCAACTTTTGTGAAGACAATCTCGAACCCCAAGGTGAGAAGAGAAAGAGATTTGCCCAAATGCAAGAGAGTGCTAGAAAGGATGTGGAACGTGCTTTTGGTGTGCTTCAATCCCGATGGGGCATCGTTCGATACCCTGCACTGTCATGGGATGAAAGGAAGCTTTGGGAGGTGATGACTGCTTGTGTGATCATGCACAACATGATTGTCGAGGATGAGCGTGGTGACAGTATCTTCGACCAAGGATTTGATTTTCTAGATGACAATCTTGAGCCCCTGCATCAAGAACCGGCCACGTTTGATCAGTTCTGCCAGTTCAATCGTGTGCTGCGTGATTGGCACACTCATAAGGCTCTTCAAAATGACTTGTTGAGCACGTGTGGGAGCATATTGGCAACCGATAGATGTATTGGTTCGCTTTATGTTCATTCAAGACAATTTCGATTTGGTTGTAAAACTATCTTTATTAGAGACAATTTCGATTGGGTTGTAAAACTATTTTAATTTTCGAACAATTAATATTTGAACGTGCAAACTTGTTTTCATATGAAAATATGGCATTTTAGGCCCTGACGGACGAGATGGGGCAAACGGATGCGGCCGTGCGCCCAGGACAGGCCCGGACACGATCCCATTGCCCTACCCAAACGGACAGAATCCGGACAAAACGGACGTCTGTTTGGGGTCGCGCGATGGAGTTGGCCTATACCACGGCTGATTCAGCAACGCAAGGAACCTCATTTTCTTGTGCGCGCTTTTCTGTTGGTGTCCAACAACATCAGTGGTAGTGCCAGCTGACGCGATCATCCTCGGGGGAATTTGCACCGACCTGACCTGCCGTTGCATATGCCCTGACCTCACTCATGACGAGCAAAGATTTATGGTCGTGGGGCCTTCTCAGCGGCTATGATATGACCCAGCGTGGGGGCGTTCCCATGCAGCAGCACAACGGCGGGAGGAAGCAGCGGGCAAAGCGAAGGATGACTGGATCGCCCTACCGACGGACGGACATTTTGGGCCGCCCGGGCCCGGCACGCGCTCGCTGCTTTGCAGGACTCCGCGCCGCGTCCGCACGTTGCCCGCGGCTGCGCTTCACACGCGCACTCGTACTGTCCTACGCGCTCCCGTCCCAATCGTGTACATGTGGACGCGGCGAGTTGGAATGCATGGACATCCGTGGCCACTCCAGCGTAATTTTTTTTTTGAAAGATCCAACATTGCTGGCTTGTCATTGATGTAGCAGAGAAGAGTTAAAAATAAAATTGAGAAATGCTCTAGAATTAAGAGCGCGCCGGAAGGGAAGAAAAGACTAAGCTACTCTTTCCCAAACGAGGCCCCTAAAGGGTACGCTAAACATTTTGGCTCTGCAATATTCCAGAGCTCTAAATTTTTTGTAAGGATGGCAATGGGTAGGGTATGAGCGGGTACGACCTTCTTCTGCCCAACCCATACCCACAGAAACCTTCTATACCCACCCGTTTCAGTATCCATGGGCATAAATTAATACCCATGCCCATACCCATCGGGTATCCTATACCCAATGGGTGTCCAATGGGTACAATCTATGACATTTAGAATTTGAAAAGTAGAGAAATGAGTCTAAAATTCAAGTGACGATGGGCGATCAGTATAGCA